TTGGCACATATGTGACACAGATGCAGCGACGGAGGCACAGGGAGGGTGACGTGCTCACGAGCCTGTGGCTAGTGGACAGAGCAGAGGCACGATGCCCTCTTGGCCTCACATCTCTCCTTGCGGGGCCCACCACGTTTATCACTTGGGCTCCTGGGTGTGGGCCCCAATCTCTACTTCTGGCAGCCTCCTGCCCCTGTCTACCTGCACTTCTGTGCACACTCCAAACCCAGCCAACCCACACATGTCTTCGTATCTTATCCCAAAAACCCGTTTCCCCCCAGGTCAGCAACCCAGAGTGACCCAGGCCTCCCATGCTCAGCCCTCCCTCCCCAGGGCCTGCCATGTGGCCTCCGTCAGACTGGCCCCCCCATCTTTTCCGGACCATGACAGTTACCTACTGGACCCCAAACCTGAGCATTTGCTTTTGTCAAGCCAAGAGCCTGCGAGCTTGAAGTTTCTTCTCCAGGTAGCAGTGTTATGGGAAAAGCTAAAATGAGCACTACCCGTGTTTGGGACCTGCGTCAGGGAGGTCAGGGTCGTGAGTGCTTTTAGACTAACAATTACACTCTCAAAGACTCTAAAATTAAGTAGCAGCTCTATAATTTGAGCACAGGAAATGACTTCAGAAACCTCAAAACTTTACATGAGTAGTCTGGAAATTTAACCTATTTTTAGAAAGCAAAACTCTGTAATTCATAGACAAAGGAAATACCAAGAAAGTATATTTGCAAAGAAAAAAATAAGAACAATCTAATCAAGTGAGAAATATGGAATAATATGTTAATTTCAACTCATTAAAATAGACATAATTTAAAAGGCTAAGAAATTAGCCATGTAAATGCGATATATTGGATTTGCCTGAAGACATTTTTGTGACTGAATAAACTAAGTCATAATATCCACATAAAAAGACACACATTTTGGTGTTTTTTCAAGAGGGAAGAATGAAACTATCTTTGCCAAAGGATAAGCCCCTCTATGATAGTTTAAAAAATAAAAATCCCCATTTATTGTGTTCACCCTGTGCCTGGCCCTGTGCCAAGCATCTTAACATATTAAATTCTAGTAAAAACCCAGTGTCATATAATACCATTATTATGCTTATTTTACATATGAGGAAATTGAGATTCAGAGAGGTTAAGTAACTTGCCCAAGGTCACACAGTCAGAAAGTATTGGAGCAGGGGTTCAAAGCCAGGTCTGTTGAATTCTGCACTTCCTCCCACAACACACACACACACACACACACCCTCAAACTCCATGCCTAAGCCCTCAAACGTCTGTTCATCGCTTCCTGAGCACAGCAGGCTGTTTCAAGCCTTCGCTCTTCGCCCCTTATCGTCTCCCACCTCAGCCTGGTAAACACCCACCCGCCGATATTTCAAGGCTCAGCTCAAGTGTCATCAACCACGGAATCTTTCTCAACACACAGACCACCAACACCTCCCTCTCCTCCCTCCTCTCTCCTTTCTTTCTCTCTTCCCCAACGCGTGATCCATCACACCCTCCAGGGTACAAGTTCCACGAGGACCAGAATCCCTCCTCCTAGAAAGCCCCGCAGTCCCAGTAACCGGCACAGTTCCCGGCCCAGGGGGACCTGCCGCCATTTGCTGAATGCACAGAGAATGGACTGACTCCTCCTTGCTCTGGGCTACCGGTATTCCATACGCCAGCGGCTTTCAACTGGCAGTGATTTTACTCCTGTGGGGACATTGGACAATGTCTGGAAACAATCTCATTGTCATTACTCGGGGGGTGCTAGTGGGTAGAGGCCAGGAATGCAGTTAACATCCTCCCATGCACTGGACAGCCCCACAACAAAGAATTACCTGGCCCGGGATGTCAACAGGACCAAGGTTGAGAAACCCAGGGATCCACCCTCTGTCTCAGCAGCTGCAATACACCTGGTTATCCCCCCATAATGGACCCTAAGCCCCTAACGGCAGGGACCAACGTCACTTGCCTTGTTAAACCCAGCACCCAATGCACGAACAAATGAGTAAAGGGATGAGTGAGAAGTGTAAGACAGTGGAGAGATGCGGGTGTGCAGAGCCAGGCTGAAATTTGGTGCACACGTGGGTGTGCTGGAGGCCGCACGAGCTCAGGGGCTGAACTGAGGACTCGAGTCAGGGCCACTTATCAGCTTATTGGCTATGTGGAAATGTTTTCAGGTTGAATCGTTGCAACTGGCCCCTAAAAAGACCAAACAAAACCTATTGGTTTTGTTCGAAAAATACAGCTCTAGAGAATCATATCTCAGTAACACTGTTCTGCCTCAATAGTATAGTGAGATTTTTAAGGTTGTGATGGCAAAACCCTATGGTTGCTCATAACTATACGTTTACAGTTTGTGGCTCAGGACAGAGAGGGAATGTTACTTACCAAAGATGTCGTCATAAACTCTGAATGACAAGCAAAGCTATTGTAGTGGGTCAGTAAACTGTCCCATCCAGGTCTTTTAGCAGTAAACACAAGCAGTGATATTCTAGAAGAAACAGGAGTTATTCAAAGGAAATACCTCAGATAAGATGCTTTGATAATTTAAGAGGAAACAGACAAGGGAGAAAGAAAAATGTTGTGAGAATAAGAAAAACAGTTCTTAATTGTAGGAAGGTCAAAATTCTCAGTGTTTTCAAATCCGATATCTTACTGGGTGTTCGTAATGATGCTGTAATGCAGGTATTGTCTGTACTTTATCTCCAAAAGTTTCCGAGAGGTTGCGTCCTGGGAAGAAGAATGGAGGTGCCCAGACGTCAGCAGCAGCCGTGGAGCAGCAAGGGACGGCGCGGGGCTGCCGCCTTCCTGGCGCAGGGAGCACGGCCAGGGCAAGCGAGCAGGAACAGCTCTGTGCCCCTGGCAGAGCCAGGAAACGCAGGTGGAGCTTTGAAAGTGCAGCATTTCACTGTGCAATACACGTTTGCACAGCCAATCAGCGGACAGGCAATGTATGAAAAAACATTTGTTAACTGTTAATGTGGGTTTAAGATACAGGAGATGAGACGCGAGCCTTTTATCGACAATCAAGTGTAGTAAAAGCGTGGAACCTCGGACTGGCTCATAATGGGCTCTGTCTCCCGGCTGCTGAATTGACTGAGCACTGGGGCTTTATGTTCATAATTCTTCCAGGGAAGGACAGGCAACAAAGCATCGTCTGTGCCTGTGGGGTTTTGTTTGTTGTTTCTTGTAACAATTGGGACTTTCACAAAGGACAGGCAAAGTATCTGTTCATGCAAAAGCCACAGAATATTCCAAGATGATTGTGAGCCTAGATTTGTCCAGCTACTTTTAGTTTAGCATTTTTAAATTGCACCATAAATCTTCAGTATTATAGAGAAGAAGCATAGAAATGGTTAAAATATTCTTTTTTCAAAAAACCATAGCCCTCAATGTTTGCTCTCACTTGGTGGATAAATCGATGCCAACATCCCTGCAAAGACACATTTGCATGTGTTTCATGAAATAACTGTGGACTTTGATCTCAGCCCATGCCTATGATGATTATAAGTGTATTAGCCCCTGGGGGTCCCTTTTTATCAAATATGTTATAACTGCACCACATAAGCACAGTATGAAGTTACAAAATTGAAAATAGGAGTCCTGTCCCAGCCAGGCGTGGGGAAGTTTCTAGCAGTCGATAAACAGCCACTTCCCGTCAGCTTCTCTCCCAGGCTGCCATGAGCCAATCGGCATGTTAGAAAAGGTGCTTCTGCCCTTGCTAGTAGAGGAACGAGCAAAGCCAGCACGGTATCCAGAGGGGCCACACACAGTAACCCCGGATTTCTGACTCCTCAACTAGGGATAACAGTCGTGCGGGCCCAGGGTTCGGAGTTCTTGGAAACGAAGTGCAAGCTCTGAATTCAGACGTGTGAAATGCTCTTCCAGCCCCCGTGTCTGGTGGTTGGGCTCCACCTGCCCAGCAGCCTTGGAGGTCAGCACAGCCGTCTTTCCCCTGGAGCTGTCAGTGCATTACCAGAGGAGCCCAGAGTGGGTGGAGCTCGCCCGCCTGTGGCCCTCGGTGCCCGCGAGGGGACAGGGCGCAGTGTGCCCTGGGAGCCGCTGTCGGGAGGCCCGGCGCGTGCCCACAGTGCGCTGTAGCACAAACACCTGGGCTAGGCATGCAGAGGGCCCACTGGGAGTCCCGCTAGTGACAGTTCACACGCAGCCGGCTATGGCTGGAAACAGCGCACGTGCTCGTGCTGGTCGATGCGACTCATCCAGATCTTTCTGGGGCTTTCGGCCCCAACCGCAAAACATGTGCCCGAGGCTCTCAGGAGACAGGCACATCTTCCAGGAGCCTGAGGGAGGTTAAGTGGAAGTAAATGTGCCTCGGAGGCCAAGGGAGGTTTCAGGTGACCTGTCATCGAGGGGCTTGAAGAATAATTGAGGCTGGAGTGGGAAGAGCGGCAACGAGTCTAATAGGGCCCCCACTTCACACCCCTCCTGGGCGCCGTTCACCTGCTCATGAATTTTAGACGTTAGAGTTTTTAAATGTGTGTGTGACTATACAAATATACACGTCTACAGATAAACATATTTATCTCCATTGTTACCAAGGAGGAATTACAAATTACAATGAAAGGCATTCTTTGGAGGGGGGGTAAGGAAGTCAGAACAATGTTTCGCCTTGGAGAGAACATGCTCCGTCCGAACGATGCTCCCGCGGTAAGGCTGCCCTTGCGGAGTGGCGCGGGAACCAGGGCAGAGGCAGCTCCGCGTCCTAACGCCAGCAGGTTCCCGTCAAGCCAGGGCTGCGCGTGGGTTTGCAAGGGCAGCACCCGTCCCCTAAAGCTTTGCCGGCTCCAGGCTGTCCGTGTGTTTCGCGCCGGAGCCGAAATGTTCCACGTCTGCCCGCGGAGGATGCCCCCGCCTCGCTGGTGGCCAGTGCGTCTCCTTGACTCAGACGTCAGACCCCCCCACGATCTTGTGCGCTTTTAACAAAGCCGGTGGGAAACAGACTTGCTACTCCAGTTCTAACCCGGTTTCTCTTTCCATCTCACGCAGGGACGGATCTGTAGAAAAGCCGGCAAATCAAAAAAGTCCTTCAGTCGCAAGGAAGCGGAAGCTACCTTTAAGAGTTTGGTGAAGACTCATGAAAAGTACGGCTGGGTCACCCCGCCGGTCTCTGACGGCTGATGTTTGCTGCGCGTCAGATGCTTGAGCCGCCTGTCCACACACACCAACGCCCCGACATCTCCTCCTCAACGCCGTGCATCCTCCATCCTTTTTCACTCCAGCCAGAACTGCATCCTGAATGCCAAGGAGACGTTTAAGTTATTTATGAACAGATGTGTTTACAGAGAGAAAGAGGGAGCAAACGCTGTTCGGGATTATTTCGATTATAAAAGAATGATCACCTCTAAGTCACTTTAGAACAAATGTTGAGATGGTGACGTTTCCCAGCCTGCCTGCCCCTCTGCCCGCCCTGGTCACATTGCCCTTAGCTTCTTTCCATGACAGCAGCCCCCACCAGCCGGCAGGAAGCTCCGTGCCCTGCCCGCTCCATCTCCGTGTAAATGGCGCCCTGCGTATCTCCTAGGAAGCCCGTGCGCCGCGCCGGTGCACGCCACCACTTGTTTGCTGTGCTCTCTATTTCTGTTTCTCTCCCTGGCAGGTCCACGTAACTTGAAGACGTGTCTTTCTGTGGCCCATGGTCTGCTGTGATGACATTTAGACCTCATTCGTGCTATGACCTTTGGCTCATGAAAACACAAATTTAACATTGCCAGATTCTGTGATACAAATCTACAACTGCCCACTTGGTTACAATGTGCTCTCGATGCTGATTTTGTGATGTGCTGCTGTCCACAGATAAACCAGTGCCATGAGATGAAAGGCAGAGGATGCTGCAGCCACCCGGGGCAGACAGTGTACGGACACCAGGTGCACCCCTGGGGCTCAGAGCTGTGAACAGTCTTTTCCGACGTTAGGAAATGCTCCTACGACAGTGCATTTGTGTTCCTGTCTTCTCTCAACCATCAAATGCAAAAGACGATTTCCCATTCACTGCGGTCATCTGACTCATTTTATTATATGTGCTAGTGACAGGGAATGCCAGAACTGCCAAAGGATACCAAGTGATCGTACGATGATTTGCATGACCGGGTCTGTTTCTTCACCCAGTAGTCACTTGTGTGTCCCCCGAGGTTGGGATGCGTGAGCACCCGCGCTGTGATGTAGACTTCCTGTTATTTAATCTCCCCACGGTTTCATTTGCTCTTCTGTTAAGTTACTTAGAACTTTCTAAGAAACTCCATGAAATGAGGAAGTACTGTTTATAATAATATACGGAAAGAGGTAAAATGTTCATTCCAAGTGGAAAATCTTATTGGACACATTTTAAATAAAATCATGCATACCTGAAGCACGGCCTCAAGGGTCCGATCATTGTGGGCTATCCTTCCGTTTGAAATTGTTAACCTCTTTTTTCTTTTTAAAAGTTTTAGTATTTCCAATACTACAAACACCGCCTCCCCCGCCCCGCCCCGTGAACTTCAGAAGCAGTATTCTACAGCCGGGTGCCCAGGAAATGAGTCTTAGGAACCCATAGTCTTTGCCAAACTCCCGTAAATTAAAATGGTCCCCAGAAGCAGCAGGGAGAAAAGTAGAAGCTAAAGGAATGGTTGGGTCAAATTCCAATGTTGCCAGTTGTGTCTCACCACAATGAAGGAAACAAGCCTTCTGGGCCAATGGGATACAATTCTTCAGCCAGTTTTGGCAACTTGGGGACCTGTTCAAGGCTTTCAGAGACCAGAGACTCAAAGACAGGGATTGGCGCCTCCCAGCATGGCTGGTCATTAACCAAATGTATCGTTGCTTTTGTGTTTGACCACTTTTGCAATTGCCCCAAGTATACACACGCAGCTCTGCCAGGCCTAAACGACAGTGTATTGAGAATGCATGCCCTGCTCAACTTCCTCCGACTAACAGAAGCCATAGCGTACTTTCTTTCATCTAATCCTCCCAGGTGGAATTCTCCATCCTGGAAACCTGACATTTAGCTGACGGTCTTTCGGGCTATTGCTTGTAATGGAATTACACTGTGGGTATTAAAGACCTAGGACAGAAACCTCTTGCTAGGGGAAAGCACCTGAATGTACTGCCTTCCAGATATTTTCCCCTTCAAATGTAAAGTTAAAAGCAAAATTTTTAGGAAAAAAAATACATGTGTAGTCAAAGCTGGGTCACTTTAATGTTGTTTAGCCGATTGAAAAATGTGTCCACAGCTGTCTCTGAGTACACTACACCAGGAGGCGTCACCAGGAGGTTGGTGATCCCGGGGTGGGCAGGTCGGTGCCAATGGCAGGGAGCTCCAGTCACCCTTTCTCTACACCTGGAATTCTGTTTCTTTTGCATGGCATTTCCCTTAGGTCTGTTAGAAACTTACAGAAGAAATCAATTCTTTAGCGAAAGAAATGCCATTTTTCACCTAAATTGGTAAAAATTTCTAATTTCAAAAGCAATGGGAAACAATTCGAAAATCATAGAAGCAAGAGCTCCCTTCCCAGGGGCCCACACTGTCATGAGCAAGCAGGGCAGTGCCGGCCACTGAGGCCCCTGGGGACCGCTGCGTGTGGGTCCTGACCACCTACACCTTAGCACAAGCCTCATTCTGCCCCCGAAGTAGACACCTGACCATGTGAGCCCAGTGTGAAAAGAAGCCTGCCACCTGAGGTCACTTTCCCACACAAGCCGAGAAACCTGTCCCTCTTCAGACAGACAGCAGGGAACAACGGGACAGAGGGGACTGAGGTTCACGCCCCACCAGCTCCACAATCCCATATATCAAGCCAGGGGCCCCAGAGCCAAAGGGACAGAAAAACTCGTTTGTTCTCCCCTCCGTGTAAAACTCTTTCCTATGCAATAGATTGCCAGGACAAGCAACCCTTGTTACTGGGCGTCCTGTCTGCTGCTCGCCAAGGCCTGTGGGTAAGACCTGCACAGGTTCATCAGCTGCACCAGCCGACTGTCTAGGAGATTGAGAATTCCCATGCCTCAGAATTCCCATGCCTGTATGAGCAGCGAGATAATTACTGCCAGTTACACACACACGCACTTGCACACACGTGCACACACACATCCACATGCAACACTCACATGAAGACTCACAATCTCTAAAATCCATGACTCAGAAAAACCATGGTTTAGGCTTAAATTTTTCAGCTTCCATGTTCACTCCACCTATCAAAATTTGACATTTTTTTTTTGAGAGGAAAATCTATGGACTAGTGCAAAAGGCCTAAGATCAGAAGACAAAGCTGGTGTCTGTAACTCCAGCGGGTCCCACCCCTGCCTGAGCCTGTTTCCTCAGCTGTAAACTCGTAGCAGGTTGACTGAGAATTGACCAAAGCGATGCAGTAGAAGTGCTTTGGAGATGAAAGACTGTCCTAAGAACTTCAGATGTCGTTTTCATAGTAGCAGGGAATTTATTTTACAACAATAGGCTTTAATTAGAAGACCCTTGAATAGCAGCTCAGAATGAACAATTACGGTGGTTAAAATACAATTCCTTGTAACCATATGCTTGCTTTCTGATCTCCGTTCTCTACATTAAGTCAATCAGCGCTGCGTTCTGACCATCTTCCATCTTCCCGCTCACTCAGCACTCTTCTCTTAGATCTGGGGGATGCAAAAGTTTCAGATCCAGCTCCTTCCCTGGACGGGAACTCCTAAGACAGTATCGTGCACAGGAACCAGCAACAAGCAAGACAAGTGCCAAATTGCACTGCAGAAATCACAGACATTGTGCAAGTCCAGAGACTACTGACTGATAACCAGGAGGCTTCCATGGTGTGAGTCAGGTTTGAGCCAAGGCTGGTACAGAAATGGGCGAGGCTGAGGGTACCCCATGGAGGGCGTGATCTGTGTCCTCGCTGGCCCTGTAGAGAGCTGGTGGCTCCTTGCCACTTCTCACCTGCGGGACCCTGTTCATCAGACTGGTTTCAGGAGGCAGGACACAGTCCAACCTCACCCCAGGCATGGGAATTATATTTCAGTATCTTATCTGAACCCTTCTGATGACATGCAAAGGTTTAATGGAATTTGCTTTCTAATGGGGTAGGACTCGCTTCCTAATGGAGTGAGGGCAGAGCCATCCAACCTGGGAGGCCACGTAGCCTAACTTTATACCCTCCACAGGGAAGGAGGCAAACCCAGAGAGATCAGGTGGTTCGTCCGAAGTCACCTGGAGGGCCAGAGCCGAGGCCACTGTCTTGGTGCGGCTCTCTGCTCCTTCCTGACACTCCTCCTGACACAATTAGGCAGTTGCCATGGCCCAGATCCAAGCACAAACTCTTCACCCCTCATTGAGTCTGCATAGCCGTGTGTCTTCCAAGCTGGCTGGAAGACAACCAAGGTGATCCATTCCATGCCCAAAGCAAGTTAGTGCTGAGGGCAGAGATTTTCCTCCAACTGCTTTGGGAACCTGCAGTTAAGGGGCTTGGAACTCAGCCCATGTCATCACGGTCAATAATTTTTTTTATTCTTTCTTCAAAGACACCGAGATAATATACAGCTCTGTTCTTAGTTTTCGGCTATGTTCTACTTTATCTTTCTAATGTTTGCAGCCTCCAGTTCTCATAGTATGGAGTATCATTCAACCCCGGGGCCCATCTGACCCGCAGACTGTGGCCAATGAACTGGAAAAGGCCAAACAGACTCTGTTGACATTCGGGAAGGCAATAAGTGATATTAGCTTGGTTCCAGGAGAAACACAAGAGCAAAGTGTGCTGGCCAAACAGAAATAACGAGAGCACAGGAAAGCAAGATTTTATTTCAGGGTTGTGACTGGGCTAGACAAATAGAGTGGACTGAGGTCAGGCGCAAGGCCGCGGTCCTGGTCACCAAGGCGACAGCAGTAAGGGAGGGATCCTGCGTGGCTGCCCCATACCCGTGCACCCTGTCTCTCCTGCAGAGTTAGACCAGGAGGTTGCTTCCTCATTTCTTCTACTGGAGGTAAATTAAAGGGCTGTCCTACTTTGTAGACACACAATCATCTTGTATTTCTAGATCTTTGGCAGTCACTGGTGATGACACTAACTGAGCTAAAATAGAAGCTGCTGTCACCCGATGTGCTTGGTTTCATTTCTGCTTGCCTTCGCTACCGATGCAGGTTTATTTCATGAACGCTGTTGCCATTCTGACAATGCTGGGATATTAATCTGCATATCGTGAGTTACTGTAAAGTTTCAGAACATCACTGCAGTTCACAGTGAGACTTCAGTGTGTCCTCTTTCCAAAGTTTCCTCTTCTGCGATCCTCAAAAGGAGAGAAAAATAATGCATGTGGCCTAAAACACATAGGAAAGAAAAGTTTACCTCTGGAAGGTGATGAACACATGAGTCGAATAATCTATAACACTACTCTAATGGGAAACAATGATTCTGGAAAGTAAGGCTTGAAAACCAACACACGTCTTTACACGGAACGCTTGCTGTGTCCTTGCATGGTCTACACTCAGTGATTGTCAGGACTCCTCTGGGTTTCCCTGTGTGTCATCCCCCGTGGGCCATTGTGAGTGACTCTCTGTCACATGGTACCCTCTGCTGTTGTGTGCCTGGCTCATCTGTGGTTTGCCAAATGAAAACTTTGGAGCATGTCACGGATATTCGCTATAAAAATCAATGAAATGTAACTGAACCAAATCTAACTAAGCATCGGTGTGATTTAGAAGATTTCTCCTCAGCTGCCATTCTCATTATAAAGATCTTTAAATGTGTTTGCCAAAGATTCCCATTAAAGTTTCTCAACATAAATGAAATAGCGTGATTGGCACAAAACCGCAGCCTAAATCACTACTGAGTTACACAGACATTTCCCTGGAAAACTTATAGAGTAGCAGCAACTCAGGAAAGTAGCCATTCTCGAGTAACCTAAGCACAATTTATGTAAAAGATACTTCAGCTCATTTTTCACGCTAGTATATAAGCTGGTCTCCAGTTTTTATTCTACGCTGTTTATCAGAGTGATTTCTCAGCCTTTGCCAATATTTGAGATCATTTTCTGATCAAGAGCACACTTTTCCTTTAACATCTGAAAATGTGGCTGTTTTAGTATTGAACAGGCGTGAGCTTCGGAATCACCCTTGAAGCCCCCACCTCTCATCACGTGTAGATGAGGATCTCGGCCTTCCAGATGGACATGTAGCTTCTGCTTTCTAAACTAAAATTTTAAAATGCATCTCTACTGTTGCAGGTTGCTAGGACAAGACAGGAAATATATGGGAAGCAGGAAGCCCAGGGCCTGGTATATAACTGGAACTCAGTAATCATTTTGGAAATAACAATGAGATTGACTTAGTACATTCACGTTAACAGCTTGAGTTGGCTGTTAGGATCCACTTTCAGGCTGTTCATTTCATCCC